CTAATAACAAAAACTATTAAAAAAACATGATTATTTAAACAAAATAATTTCAAATGTGGAGTGTCATGCAGGGAATTCTGGGAATATCAGTTTACAGTTTTTGACTGTAAATTATACATTGATTTGTTATTTTTACTTCTAAAAACTGTAAAATTAACAGCATTTTACTGTAAAATTACATGAAATGTCTGGTTAGATATTTTACAGTTTTTCCCTGTATATAGTATGGGAACTTACTGTTAACCTGTTAACAGTTTTTTTCCGTAGCGTTTTTACAACATTTTACAGTTAAAATTACACTTATTTTTTACAGTGTACTGTTATGGTTTTTGTTAATATTTTGACCAGTGTTATTATAGTTGACAAACTAAAACTGGAGCAAAAAAGAATAAAAAAATAACATCTTTCTTACTTGTAAATAAAATATTTTTAAAAATCTTTATTTCAGCTAATTGCCAAGGCAACATTTCTCATTTTAATTTAGGTTAACTTGATAACTCAAATAAAAAAAATATAAATCAAAAACTAAAAATAGAATAAAATTAGAAACTGATTCAAAATATTAATAAAAACTATAATGGTATCTCAATTATGCTAAAATAACACAGATTTTCAATTAGCTATTTTTATATTTTAATTGGTTACATTTTCATTTTTTTTTTTTTTTATATAGAGGTATATTTCAATATTTTAGTACTAACTGAAATAACTCTTTTTAATATTTTATTTATTTATTAATTTAAAAATATATTTTAATAAAAAATAAAATACATTTTATTTTCATTAGCGTTTATTTTATTTCAAGTGATAGCAATGTTTTTTTTTATTTTTTAATGGTTTTAGTTTTAATTAGGATAATAACCCTAGTGAGGACCGAGTCGGGGCTGATGTTTTGAAGCACAAAAGAGATTATATGAGATGAAATCAAGCACCTCTTTTAGATACACAAGCGCACGTCTCATTTCCAGTAGCTTTATTGGGAGAGTGTGGTGTTGACAGTGAGAGTGAAAGGCTTAACACAATACAGCTCTGATTAGATGGACAGATTACACTCACAATCTGCAACAACAGATCTGAACAGCTCCACCCATACGGGTCCGTGTCATATCCTCACGCAACTCAAGCCACAGATTTGTTATTAAAGGTGCAAACGGACTATGTTATGTATTATTTCTGCAGTCAGATTCAAGCAGCACAGGATTTTTAAACATAATTTTAAAGTGAAAAATCCACCTGTCATGTCATATAATGGGGTCTGAATTAAAAACAATCATTACTGAAGCTGATCTGTGTGGTTCTGGACTATTCCCTTTGTACCCTAATGAGATGATAGACAGAAGGAAAGTGTCCTTGGGAAGAATTTCAGCAGTGATTCAGACCGAGAGAGGCCTGTTCCAAGAAGAGCCGTGTGTGTGAGTCACTATCAGAGAGGGGTCATCCTCGAGGCAAGAGAAGAATGAATGGCTGGGGAAATGTGTGTGTGTGTGTGTGTGTAAGAGTGAAACCCCCTCCTCCTCCCTTGGGCGGAAGAAATCAGAAGCACATGTGGATCAGGGTGTGTCCTCATGACACGAACACTTGTGCAAACTCAGCAGACAGACACTGAAAGAGGCAGAGCAATACACACACACACACACACTTTTAATATAGAATTATTTTTGTTTTAAGGTTATTATACATAATTATTTTCTTTTTAATTATTTTATTTAATAAATGATATAGATATACTGTATATATATAGAGAGAGAGAGAAAAAAAAATTTCAATAAGACCTTATCTCAAGTTTTTCGTCACTCAGTAGCTCATATTTACATTTATGAATTACTTTTGTGAAATGTTTATACATGTAATTATTTTAGTTTAGAATTATTTTATTTGTAAATTAATTAAAATAAAGTAATAATAAAATACATAAATTAATTGAATTTCTTTGAAAATATTAACCACTTTTATTTATTAAGCAATTTATTTAATCTTATATATAATTATGCATTCGTTTAGATTTATTTTATGTTTTAATATATATATATATATATATATATATATATATATATTAGGAAATTGACAAAATATCTTCACTGTCTCTACCAGCCCACATCCTTTCTCTCTAGGGTATTTTACTACAGCTATGCGACTGATACGTTCACTCATGCACATTGCGTGCGTGCGTGCGTGTTTGTACATGAGAACTGCTGTATGAGGTTTCACATATGATCAACATTCATTGTTTTTATTTGCGTTACCATAGAATTGTGTGTTTGTGACCTAAACTGACTTCCTGTGTGTGTGTGTGTGTGTGTGTGTAAGTCACTTCAGTGCTCAGCCGCTCAGATTGACTGAATCACAGACTGAATCACATTCATAATCTCACACACAGTCAGTCTTTTATCTCTGATTTCTCATCTCAAGGCGTTATTATTTAGTTTTATGACTCAGCAAGCAGCCTCTAGCCGGGTAACTAACCCACTCCGAGTTTACTATTTTAGTAACAGGGTAAACAAGACAGCAATGTCTGACTGTTTTGTCCGATTTCAAATTAATTCACCCAAATTTGCCACATAAAAACAACAACAACAAAAAACAGTGGTTGTTTAACATGTCAATCAGATTGCATCGACATAGGTGGTTCAGCCAGAAACCAGACTTAATACTGATAGTCAATAGTCTGGCTGCGTGACAGAAGAGCATGCTGGGTAAAGAGCCAGACACTCACCCTGTGTTGCTCGATGAAATCGATCCATTGGTTGCGATGCTCTGGGTCCTGAGCACGTAGATACCACACACTATCATTGACGCTGATGTCCAACCGGCACTCGTCAAACTCATGAGGCTACAGAGACAGAGAGAGAACACTTATTAGACTGATCTGATCATCAAACATCATTACTCATGACAATCATATTTGTACATTTATAAACAAGGTGCTCTGAGTGAGGGAGGGATCCAAGAATCCAATCTGTTGTTGATAAACCAGTACTATTCAATACTAGACAGAGTAGTAGTATATTTTTATTTAATGCCATGTCAGCATCTTAGGCTATTTTCATGACAAAAACAAATAAAAAAATACAAGTATAACAAATACAATAAAAACCAGCAAACAAACAAACACAAGTTATATTACACAAGATTTTTTACATTAACATATGATACAAATTCTAAAAAATGTTCTGGCAAAATTATACTAAATAACTCTTTAAGTGAGTTCAGTACTAGACAGAACAACCACAACCAAAAGAAAAGAGAGAGCCTTGACCCACAGAGCCAGCTGGGAAATGTGAGATATTTCCCCCTGAAAAAAACAAAACACTAACAACAGCCATGTCTGAGTGTGCGTGTTTGGTATTATTGCCAGATGTTGATCTCTGTAGACCTCACACTGCTCTATGAAAACCAGATGAGGAGTCAAACACTCCTCTCCTTCAGTCTCATATACTGCACAACTCTAGCCCAGTGTTTCTTTTCTTTTGCCTCCCACTATCCGAGAACACACCAGTATTTGTCTTATTTATTTTTCTTAAATATTATATTTATTATTAATTCAATTATTGATAAATATATTTAATTTTTCATTATTTTATTTTATTTTAAACCATGTCATCCAGCTATCATAATAGCTAATAGTAATTATTCTAATTTCAAATTTAAAAAGGAATGACCTGAAGTTTAGTGAGTGAGTCATTTGAACGATTCAGAGAACCGATTCAGACTCAGGAGTCAATAATTGATCTGACACAACCACTTTAGGGAAGTCACAATTTATGTTTGTTGTTACATGCAACCACCGAGGGCAACACTATAAAAAAGAAAACTGTCTATATATTTTGCTTTCACTCACAGGAAATGACACTACTTACGCATATCAGACTACATCAACAGAGACAGAGCATTAGAAAACCACCAAATGATATGACAGACACCTGGTCTTCTGGGTGAAGCGTGGGGCGCTCATTCAAAAGCCTGACGCTAATCACAATATGAAGAGGCATGACAGGACGACACATGAGGACTGAAACGGGCTTAAATGAGACCGGAGACAAAGCTGCATGTGTTTAATCAGACAGAGAATAATCAGTCACATCTGAGCGAGGATGATTATCACTTATCACACCACAAAACACAACCACAACAACAAACAAACACAGAGAGCCAGAGGCCTCAAACAGGCTTTACATAGAAACAGCATCTTCCCACTACAAACCCAGAGCTCAGAGGAAACTGTGAGAAAACTAAGAGACTGTTCACAGTGTGAGACTAGGATTTTATATTATGCTGCCTTATAAGATGCACTTGCTGAGAAGGCGATCCCAGAATGCACTGTGATGAGCTCAGTCGGTCGGATCTGTTCTGCATTTGCAATGACAGCGTTTGAAAAACGGCTGTTATGATGTTGAAAATGTCAGTTTAGATTTAGGAGTGCTTATATTTGTGCGTGGAACCCAGAATGGACTGACACAGGAACATTTGAGTGCCTGTATGGGAAAAGCATTGAGCGGGATTCTGGGAACGGAAAATCGAGACACGGTGGGCAATGCAGGGGACACCAAGTGGGTCACAGCGGGTACTGAGAAGAGACACTAAAATAAACACAAGGGTCGTCACTATGGGACTGACTGAACCTGCGAGACACCATCAATCGCACGGCAGTGAACACAAACACAAACACGCATATCACAACACTGACACACAGATGTTAAACAGGACTGGTATCTGTTGATTCATGTGTGCTTCCATCTCAGATAGTGCTGCATTGTGGGTAAACATGCTTTAGTAGAGCTGTAAAACATAACATGACCACACACCTTTGATCAGCTCATGAGGACACAAGTAAAATTAGTATATAATGAGCAATAAGTTTACTAATCTTCATAGTATATACTACTATAAACATTTCCATGTTTTCATATAAATATTTTATATTATATATTATTTTATTTTTTTTACTTGGCACCTATTTTGATATAATATATTTTACACACACACAATCTTATTTATATTCATTACTTAGCACCTTATTTTAATAAATTTTTTCTTGTTATTTATGTTGTAATTTTTTTCTTGTCATTACTTGTTTTGTGTAAAATGCTTTGATGATTTAGTATGTAAATACTTCATGTCAATTGAAAAACTGAAATAGAGAGACAGAAAGAGCAGGTATAGAGCTGCTTTCTCAGTGCATTATTGGAAATCTTCAGTCCTACACGTGAACTGAACTTCAAACACTCTGGGTGGATGCATTCATTCCCTTTCCAAAGATCAGCATCCCAGCATGCACACACACACACACACACACACACACACAGGCCTACGTGTGCAAAGTCACAACGGCAGAAGGAGACAGACAGTGAGGGAGCCTGTGAAATTTACAGCATTGTGTCAACAACTAAATGAAATGTCACATATACAGAATCCCAGTACAATAATCAACACATCGTGTGCGGCAACATAAGAATGATGCATTATGTACTGCATCCAGAGAGTAAAACACAGTGTGCAAATATACACAGCTGTTTTTGTACAGCTACAGCAAGAAAATAGACAGATGCATCCACAGTAAATACTACATCTAAAGACAACAAAATCTGATTATTCATTACAATTATACAAGTCAGACACATCTATAGTTTGTAATCCGTTATATGTATCTACATAATAACCTAACTTTAATTATTTAAGCTTGCAAAAAAGAAAATAGAAGTACAAGCGATGCTGAAGTGCATTTATTTACAGTCAGTCATTTGATGCTAAATTTTAATTGCACAAAACAAATGGACTAAAAGCTCTCTGTTGCCTAATTAAATGTATTTTATAGGCCGTTGACAACAGTTCTACAACATCTTTTAAATTATTCAATGTGCCACAGAGCAAAAGTGAAAACATCATGATGTGCTTTACGTTCGCTGAATAATGGTCTGCCAGCGGTTCTCAGGAGTTTTAACATTTTGGCTAGAAGCGACGGATTAAAGTTAAAAACGTCTTGATGGATTTGTTTCTTACAAACACACAGTTTTGGCTTCACACTGATGTTAACTGATGGACTGGAGTGGTGTGGATTACTTGTGGATTATTGTGATGTTTTTATCAGCTGTTTGGACTCTCATTCTGATGGCACCCATTCACTGCAGAGGATCCGTTGGTGAGTAATGCTACATTTCTCCAAATCTGATGAAGAAACAAACTCATCTACATCTTGGATAGCCTGAGAGTGAGGACATTTTCATTTTCATTTTTTGGATGAACTATTCCTTTAACCAAAGACGACAATTAAATTATTAATTAACAATAATATACATGTCAATTACTTCCTAAAATCATATTCATAATAGCCACAGCCTGACATTTTGAGGTCTACATTTAAAGAACAAATGTTTCAACAGAGGTTTGGCGTGTCGAATCACAAACAAGCATGACGATAACATGTTCCAGGGTCTGAAATAAGCACAGTGTGCTGAAGTCCACACTTGAATGTGATTAACCAGCAAAAACTGATATCAGGAGCTGGTTAGAGATGGACGTTAAGGCTCACAGATAATGGGTAAATTGCTGTTTACTGAGCAATTCAGTCTTGGATCTGTGCTTTGGGAAATCAGAAACACAGGATGGTGGGACTTCAGCTTGAACAAAGGAAACAAACGCCACACTGACCCACAGATTAGGAAACAGGATGCAAAGGAAGAGAGCATGTCATATGACTAACTAACCCGCTGTTATTGACAGGTTGAAGTGCATATAGGCTATGTGATTTAAATGTCCAGACAGAGTACTGGTTAGAGCAAATCTAGGAGGAAGGAAGTAGACGACAGGAGAGATGAGCAGAGGGACTTTCTGACTCGACCCCCGGGTCACCAAACAGGAATTCATCAGCAGGAGGGCACAAGGGAGCAAACTTCCCGTTTCAGACAACAGGACAGTCGTACACCTCTCTTTTCCTTCTATTTCAGATCTACACAGCCTATTTTTTCCACTCATTTCACCCTTTTAAAAATATCACAGATCATTCCCTCCCACATCCCCGTGTCTCCACGCTGCTCGCACCTCCTCCTCATTTCAGCATCGGTTTTCTTTACAGGACGTTTCAGGGTTCACTGTCTGTTTGATCCGTAATGGAGCCCGTTTGACACCTTCACACACAGATTCACTCAAACCCATTTTATCAAAAGCCCTCTGAAAGCCTGAGGCGCTCAACGGCTCAAAGGGACGAAGCACAACAAAACGTCTCCAGTCGATCTTCACAATCTCAAAAACTGTGCTCACCAACCATACTAATCTAACCTGTTTAGTAATGTTATTAGAGATAGTTGACACTAAACTGTAAATGTTCTAAACATCCTTTCTATAAGTATAAAGTATTAAAAGTTTCATTACATGGAATACTAAAAATGTTATATGTTTGATACAATGCCCTTATGAACAAGTTTATGCTGGGGAAACCTCTTGTTGTGAAATAGATCATATTACTGAACATAGGAGTGTAATTAAAAGACGTGATGCAACCAATTCAGTGCTGTTACATTTTAAATGTAATTATCCTATGTCCTCTTTTTTGTTTACTGGCATGTTAACATAAAATTACCAGTAATAGGAGGTGATACTGACCAAAATCAAATGAAATGTTATTTGAAATGTGCATTTCCTACTGGGATTAATAAAGATTTGGTTCTAAAAGAATTTTAAATGAAAAACATTTGTAATTACTGCAAATAATGTGAAAACACATGTTTAAAAATGTGTTTGCAGAAATGTATTTTAATGAGTTTTGCTCTGATGAAGGCCTGTGTGCTGAAACATGTTTGCGAAATAAAGAACACATTTCTTCCAGCTTCAAGATTC